CAATCATGTCACTCAGTGCTCGTGAACTTTGATCAAACTGCCAAACTAGGCAGCGCAGATCAAACATGAATCTGTTAATGCACTGCCTATTTCTTGCCTCAAATATTTTCAGAGACATTATGTAATGTACTGTAAAATAAGAACGTTTGTGACCCAGCACTGCCTTCCACCCACTGGCAGAACCACCTTTGTCATTTTACAGCTAAACAGTACACTAAAATATGTTTCCGAATGCAAATGAGGTGAGAAATACATAATGCAGTAACAAAATCTTGACTTATATTTGATCAGTGCTGCCTACTTTGACAGTCTGAGCAGTGACTGACATGATTGACAGCTGCATTAGAGACTCCTCTGCTCTGATTGCTTGTTTTCATTCATATGTAGCAATATGTGGAGGCAGAAGAAGATGATTTTTTCATCCATCACAACCACCAGTATCTATTAGCAAGTATTCATAACAAAAAAAACTAAGAATTAGGGTACATTCCTAGCAGGACAGCCTGTGGGCAACATGATAACTTATCAGTTGTCAACCAAAGTTACTGACAGCAACCTGGAATAAAACGTATCTATCAGCCATTCTCGTTGCGCGCCTATGTGAGTGCGAGAGAATGGGAGAGTGTATTTGATGCCATATAGGCCTATCTGTCAGCAGAGGATTAGACTGCTGGCATTCCACACAGGAAGCCATCTCAAACCAATATAGCCTATTTCTCCTGTTACAGCCTCATGATTCTACCAAGGAACTGGAGCCTCTCGCACCCCACACGTAGGTATGGGCGAGCTATTGTCCCATGTTGCAGTGAGGCAGCTGCCTACGTCTGCAGTTTAGTCCGGTAGCGCTGTTGCCAACAATGCTACACGTTAGCAAAGCTCCAGCAGTACTGGCCAAGAATGCTATTGCTAATCCCATCCCAACAATGTAAAAACCATTAGAGAAGTCAAGCTCAATGATGTCCTTGGCTGGAGTTTTTCCACCCTCAGTTTATCACCCCTCAGCTGGTAAAGGTGGATTAACATGGATGTGTGAGTGGCATTTTGTGAGGTCCTAAGATAAACTATTGGAATTCAAATACGAGACAACTTGCGTGAAGCCTCACAATATATGGGCTAGGTTTCAGCAATGAGACTTTCTATTAAATCTGTGACATGGCGTCATCCCACATTTCAAAGCAAATGTTTTTTTTAACATGGCCAACTCCAGAAACATAGTAGTTCCAGGAAAAAGCTCAAGGGTGCTGCTAGCTGCCTGGATAAGAGGCGCTTACCTGTAGTATGTCTAGGGCTGTCCCTGAAACCAATATGCTTTTTCATTGTCCTAAAAACAAAGTATTGTGTACCCACAAAAGATTTGAAAATATTCAATTTGAGTTTAAAAAGAACTCACCTCAAATGCTACAAAAGGCCAGACACACACACACACAGCCAGCTAAGCAGATTTACTGACACAGAGACAGACAAACACACACATGGTGGCACGATCCACACCAAAGGCAGCTGTCTCTAAACAAGTTAATATAGCAGGCTGTTTATGAGTGGGGCTGAAATTCAAACCTGACACGAACACCCGTCTGGCACAGCCTTAATGAAATGTTGGACCGGGGTGAAGGTAAGTTCAGTGGGCCCCTTGGCAATGTGGGAGCCGGTACCTACTTTGCCTCTTTTAAAGTACTTCTTCATCCTCAACTACCAAAGGATGCAGTGCTTATCTTCCTGCTAGTTTTAGCTGAGTGATAAGGGCAGTGAGAGAGTAACACTTTTTCTTAATGCACAACAGCACAGGCGAGAGGATGTTGAGAAGTGGACAACCAAGAAAAGCTGGTCATCAGTGGTTTATAAAAAATCTTGACATGACATTGACGAATAAGAAACAATGTGTCTAGAATTTTGGGTAAGGGTTTGGCATCCCTGTTCTCAGAGCTCTTGACCAGAAATACTGATTTAGAGTGGCTTCCTTAAACAGAATTCAACTGCTGTTCCCAGTGTGACTTGAAGGTTAGACTTGTGTTAGGTTAAATGAAGTTGAGTGTCATTATCTGACCTTTGTATATCATTTTCCAGTGATCTAACCAGTATAGGAATACCTATCTCAAAAAATAACACAAATGATGAAAACAGCTGCTTCAAAAGGCTGGAAAAAACAAACCCCTCCAAACACCTGAAGAGGTGCTTCAGGGAACACTAGTATGGGGCTGTAACTAAAAATCATTTTCATCATCGACTAATCTGCTTGTACATTATGTCTGTTTTCATGTTAAGCACTCAGTGCTTACAATGCCCTTACTGTAAAGTTCTTTGTGCTGCATTTCTTCTATGAAAATAGCTATACTATTATTATTAATATTATTATTATTATTATTATTAATAATATTTTCTCTACTAATTCTTTGGTCTATATAGGTAAGAAAATATTTTCTGAAGTCCAATGTTACCAATGTGCGCTTTGACCAATACTCCGAAACTCCACCTCGCTATGCAGGGCTCCACAATAATGTATGTCCGACTGCTCAGGGGATGTCAAGTGACACATCCATCTGTTAAATCTGTCAACTCACGTGCCCAATCTGGCAAGTAGTAAAAAAAAAATTAACATTGTTTTTTTTCCCCAGACTTAATGATGGAAGTAACTGAGGAGTGAGCCATCTCGGTTTTTAATTATCTCTGCTGAGGTGCACATATGCAGTACCGATCTGGCTGTTAGAAAATGACAGCAGGTAAAGACAAAGATTATGAGCTGAAAACAGTTTATTTGGGTGGCATTAGAGGATTTGGGAACTCCAACTTTAGTCTTTGTTGATATCTGATAACTGCTGATAAATAAAGCAAGTTTTCAGGCAGGTAAAGACCGATTTTGAGCAAGTAGATTTTTGACCCACTTGCTCCACTGGGCAAGTGAAAAAAAAAAAACATTAACACTGAGCACTGCTATGACAAAAGACTTTTTTGCTAGAAAAAAAACAACTGATTGATTTTCACAACAGTTGGCAATTCTTCTGTTGACCAACTAATCATTCAGGAAATTAATGACAGTGGGCAGTTCAGGTTGGTTATGAGGGGTCATTTGGCACATACATTTGAAAAATAAATACTTTTGATATTAATCATTTGAACTTGCCACTCAGAATTTTGAAGACCTAAGCTATACTGTTTTATGCAGATGCTATATCTTTTTAGGGAAGAAGCTTCCACTCTTTTCCATCCTTCTCCTTTTTTTTTTTTTTTTTTGAAGATGCAGACAGACACAAAGCAGACATGCCACAGACACTTGCACTCCCTGCACCCTTCTCCAGACCAGACACAGTTGTGTGTTGGGCCACAACACCTGTCAAATGATTCCTGGAGTCAGGTTCAGCATGACAGACACGACCCACCATGGTGCCCCCATCATATTCCACATGGCCCGAGGGTAGCTGCTATAGCTTCTCACCCCTTACAACACGCGCTTACTATGATGTGAATTTAAACCAGGAGTACAGAGAGACATACATGTAGAATGGAACTAAACACATCTTTGTTAGTCTGAGATCCATTCTGCAGGCTGTTATAAACAACATTCAACATCTCCTCTTTTGTCATAAGCCTGTTATGGCAGGAGCAATCAACAGTCACAGTGCCTTTTACATTACTGTGATTTAGAGCATTTAAAGTCATGAAATTAAATATTTTTGGTGATAAATATGACTATGGTTACCCTCCCTGTATTATTAGAGAGTCAATACTATGGTATGAAAAAACTACACTAGTCTCGACCACCAAAAAAGGATGACTACTATACTGCCAGACTCAATCTAATCTTGCAGGCGGTGTTCCTCAAGGTTTGATTCTGGGTCCTTCACTGTTCTCTGTGTACAACAAAATTCTCTTTCTCTGCCACTGGACTAGGGTTGTACTGAATGTCATTTTTTACATTCACATTTTACAGCTTCTATTGAGATTTTTTGAGTTAATCTTTGAACGTCTGTCATCATAGCATTTGAATGTTGATTTAGAATTTGAATGTCAACATTGTGAATGAGGCGTCGAACTATTCGGTACAGCCCTTCACTTCACTGGCCGATATTTGCTTATCAAAGATACAGTATGTGTAAAGTAAAGAACTGCTGTATTGAAATATCAGATTTTTTAAACTTAGCTCAGGTCAAGTTCAGCTTCACATTTCACACTAACCTTGTTTGCCATTATGTTAATTAGATTGCTGCCACACACTGAGAAGTAAACTAATCCAAACTTCGGTTTCCAAGTATGAAAGACATGTCCAAAATAAGCTCCCTTTCATCTGGTTGCCTCCAAACTGTGACCTGTGATTTATTATCACTGTATTGAGACAACTACACTTTTTATTAAATATAAGACACGTGACCAAACAAGACCCATTATATGGCAGTAGATTTGTGGAATAATCTATCTAAGAAGCTGAGGCTTGCTGATTAAATCACTTAAAACATTATTTTTAAACTTTTACTGATTTTGTACTTCAGACTTCCTGCTTTTGTCTTTTTGTATTACTTCTTATTTTTGGTTTGTGTGGGGTTTTTATAGCTTTTTTCTTCACTTTTGTTGACCTGAGAACATCATTAATGGGACTTGTTGCCAAAGAAAATACCTTACATTAGAAGGGCACATACACATTGCACCCATGTTCCAGAGGTACTTGAGACCCATGTATGACAGGACGCTAACAGGAGGGGAGCTATGAAATCAGGCTGAATACATGCAGCAGTTGGGGGGGTGTAGGGGCGGTCAAGATAGGCTCTGGTGTCTGGCTATTTTCAGGTCCCCCCTTCCTTGCGGGCCAGCAACAGTTGAAACCAGACAAGCATATGCATAAACACACTTCCGTGTGCATGAATGCACGCACCAACTTCACACTTACATGGAACTCAGTGGTGTTGAGAATGTGACGTCCATCTGGACTCCACCGTGAGGAGACTAGTCCTATTGAGCCCTCATCAATCTTACAGTGCCAGTCTGGCTGTTCAAGAGACCACACCTGAAGAGAAAGACAGAGAGTGACAGAGGAACAGCAATCAGCCGTCACTGATGACATCCCTCACACACATGCTGCATCTTCCTAAACTTGATTTCAAATAGTAAGAAACAGTTGAGCATCGGAAACCATGAAAGACTGGCGCTGGATACCCCTTCAAAGGTAAGAAACTTGCCCTATGATGCACATTGTGACATTACAGTAGCATTGCAGAACCTGTTGTTATTACAAACTCTGTCCGTCAGTTAGAATGCATGTTTTAAAAAAAATGGGTATCCCTGTTTTACATAAATGTGAATAAATTATTAACAGATTTTTTTTTTATTTTTTAATATATATTTTTTATTTTATAACATAAATAGGACCTGGTGTAAATGTGAGTTTACAGGACACAAGATAATTAAACAGCATGATTCTAAAGTCGATAAATGAGGCATGACTCTGTATTCAGGACACAAAAATTTGTAAAAGAATCTTAAGTGTCACATTTAAAGAAGGTTCATTAATCATTGTTTGTTAAATGATGAGGTCATTTCAAACAGCAGCCTCTCAGTCTCAGATTTCTGGTGTGCATCACTTTATATCATGTGTGGTCTACATGTCTAGTCAAAGTAATACTGAAAAACTACTTAACAATATGAAAATTTAACTAGTACACACACTGAAATCCAAATGTATCTACAGTGCTGTAAAGTACTGTTCACCAAAATGACAAAACAACCGCTCAACCATTTCTAAAATAAGAAACAGCTGTGATGTAAAAGAGGGCATGTTTGAAGCAACTGCACCATATTCAAGTGAAATTTTAAAACTTATTCAAACTCAAAACACTACCAGTGAAATGAAAGAGAAAATGTGATTTTTGCATTTGCTGAAATTATTTCAAAGACTTGTTGACACAGGGTATGTAGAATTATTATTAACAATGGCCTTTTAGTAGTCCAGTGCAATATGTTATGTGAAAAATCCAGAGAGCACTACAGCTATAAAATATTGATTTCACAGCCACAAAAACGTCACATAGATGTACAATCCAACGCTGTTATCAAGATTGAAATGTCTTAATGATACACTGAAATATTTATTGATAATGTAGCTTTTCCATACTCTCAAAAATGTTTCTTTATCTTGAAGGAATACTTCACCCACAAACTGATCATGTGTAAGATTAATGATTCACCACATGTTGCGTTTGTGGGAAAGTTTTTTTTTGCCTCCTAGGTGAACAAAGAATCCAAAATTGGGAGAAAATTCTTGATGAATTGGAGTGAAAGGGGGCCACGTTTAACAGCAGCAATTCTATATACAGTACAGGGCAAAAGTTTGGACACACCTTCTCATTCAATGCGTTTTCTTTATTTTCATGACTATTTACATTGTAGATTCTCACTGAAGGCATCAAAACTATGAATGAACACAAAAAAAGGTGAAATAACTGAAAACATGTTTTATATTCTAGTTTCTTCAAAATAGCCACCCTTTGCTCTGATTACTGCTTTGCACACTCTTGGCATTCTCTCGATGAGCTTCAAGAGGTAGTCACCTGAAATGCTTTCCACTTCACAGGTGTGCCTTATCAGGGTTAATTAGTGAAATTTCTTGCTTTATCAATGGGGTTGGGACCATCAGTTGTGTTGTGCAGAAGTCAGGTTAATACACAGCCGACAGCCCTATTGGACAACTGTTAAAATTCATATTATGGCAAGAACCAATCAGCTAACTAAAGAAAAACGAGTGGCCATCATTACTTTAAGAAATGAAGGTCAGTCAGTCCGGAAAATTGCAAAAACTTTAAATGTGTCCCCAAGTGGAGTCGCAAAAACCATCAAGC